GATAAAAATACCATTATTGAGGAAACTGCAGAAATAGCAAAGGAATTTAATGAGTATTTTGTGAATATCGGTAGTAACTTAGCAAAACAAATTCCTGATCCAATAAATTCTTTCGAAATAGATAAATATATAGAAAAAATTCTTCCCCAATGTTTCTTACTGCTGTGAATCATAATGAAATATTAAATATTGTAAAAACATATACAAGTAAAAAGTCAACTAACTCTTTTAATATTGATTTGACAATAGTAAAACAGATTATAGAATTTGTAGTGCGACCTCTTACATACATATGCAACCTGTCATTCAAAGCCGGTGTTTTTCCATCAAAAATGAAAACAGCTAAAGTCATCCCAATTTTTAAAAGTGGAGAAAGACAATTCTTTACAAATTATAGACCAATATCACTGCTCCCACAATTCTCAAAAATATTAGAAAAACTATTTTCTCGTAGACTTGATAACTTCATAAGTAAACACGTGCTATTAAGTGAAAATCAATACGGCTTCAGAGAAAAACGGACCACCTTAATAGCAGTAATGGAGTTCGTGGAAGCAATAGCTACTAATATAGACAATAAAGAATTCACTGTTGGGATTTTTCTCGATCTAAAAAAAGCTTTTGATACAATAGATCATACTATATTATTGAATAAATTAGAGACATATGGTATCAGAGGCATAGCACATAAATGGATTGAAAGTTATTTAGAAAACAGACATCAGTTTGTACAGTTCAAAAACAAAAAATCCAACTTACTGAAGATTACCCATGGAGTTACTCAGGGATCAGTGCTTGGACCAAAACTATTCATTTTATACATAAATGATATCTGTAGTGTTTCAAAACAATTCAAATGTGTCCTATTCGCCGATGATACAACCTTTTACTGCTCTGGAGAAAATATGAAACAACTCCTGAAAACTGTGGAAAATGAATTAAACAAATTAAAAAACTGGTTCGACAGAAATAAACTATCTTTAAATTTAACAAAAACTAAGTTAGTTGTTTTCGGCACGAGACCAATCAAAGATCAAGTTAAAATAAGGATAAATTCAATTGAAATAGAACGAGTTTGTGAAAATAAGTTTCTTGGACTAGTAATAGATAACAAACTATCTTGGAAGCCACACATAGATAACGTTAAAAGAAAAATATCCAAAACTATTGGGATACTCCACAAAACTAAGGATGTGTTGGATAAGAGTTCTTTGTACACACTATATTACTCATTATTACTCCCATATATGACCTACTGTGTGGAAATATGGGGGAACACCTGTAAATCAAACACACTCCCTGTCTTAAAACTACAAAAAAAAAGCAATCAGAATAATCAATAGGTCCAAATATATAGAACCCACAAATCCGCTATTCATCAAATTAAATACAATGAAATTCTATGACCTGGTTGACTTCAAAATCACCCAATTAATGTATAAAGCACATCACAATCTCCTTTGCCAAAATATCCAGAAGCAGTTTGAAATTAGAGATAGTTGTTATAATCTAAGAGGTATCAATCAAAATAAAAAAATCCAGAACAAGAACAAACATCAAGCAAAGGTGTGTATCAGTAATAGGAGTCAATCTGTGGAATAAGCTTGAAACTGATCTGAAAATGAGTAAATCGCTGGACGAGTTCAAAAACAAATTTAAAAGATTAGTACAAACAAACTACAAAAATCAAAGTTAAGAAGATAAATTCGATATACTTATAAAATATAGTAATATAACGGTCTGTTCTTGTTTTGGATTTTGATCAACTCATTAAATGCATTCAAGAAATGCAGTATTTATAATGAATATGAGACAATTGATATAAAAAGGAAAAAGAATAATTATATGTATATTCATGTACATATGTAAGTGTGTGTATATGTATATGTGTGTGTGTGTGTATATATATATATATATGTATGTAAATACAAACAGAAGGGTGTATAATAGATAAGTACAGTACACATAAGGGTAAAAGTACTTGATGAGAGGTAGATCTCTTCCTTTTCTTTTGCATTGAAAAATGATCTATTTATATTATTACACAACAAGGGGTAGGACTAGATAAGTTGTATACTTCTTCCTACTCCTTTGAACATATAACGGTGATGATGTTTGTTTTATTTACTTTTTATTTTTATTCTTATTTTTCCTTTTGTAATTTTGTTTGCCTTTTGTCAATTGTTGTTGTATTTTATGTTCAATAAACAATTAACTAACTAACTAACTAACTAACTAACTAAC